ACACATATATATATATATATATATATATATATATATATATTTAAGCTACTGCCTTTGCTCATCGCATCTTGTGAGCATTGCAGATTTTTGAGCCAGTCATGTGAACCAAAATGCCATGAAATTAATTACAATAGAGCCACAGGAGAATGGCTTCATGAGAGCTGATTGGCTGATGATGGCATCAGAAAAAACTGTCCCTGTACAATCCTGAGCTTTGACATCAAAGGCAGCAGAAACTTTTTAATTAATTAATTAATTTATTTATTTTTAAGAAAAAGAAGAAGAAAAAAAATGGACACTCTTTCATGCGTTTACCAGATCAAAGCAATCTGGTGGCGAAACTTCGGAATTTCGAAATGTTTCGAAACCAAGGTTCGATACAGTTTCCGAACCACTGAATCGAAACAAAAGATTGATGAGCTTCACGAAGTGTTCCGAAAGCTCCCATCATCACTGCCGAATGTTTACACCGTGTCTACACCGGACGCCACAACAGCTAAAGGCTGTTTACACTGGACGCCAAAATACAAACGTTGCGAATCATTTATACTTTGTGTCAGTACTTCATAAACAGAGCATCAGTTTACTGTCGGGAATTTGTCGTGTCGCATCCAGTTTAGACGGCTTCAATGATTAGGCTATAAAGGGAGGGTTCTATTGTCTTTTGCGCGCCGCTCCGTCCGGTATGTGACACGGTGTTACTTTCATTTTAGCTTTAACTTGTCATTAATACGGATGAGAGGCACCTTTGTTTCACAGAGTCTACATTGATTTTTTTTTTTCTGATAAAAGTGTTGAAAATGAAGTTTCCCTTTATTTTGCTGTCAATTTGTTTGTTTTTTCCTGAACATGGTAAGACATTATATACAATTTATTTTCCGGTCGATTTTTGTGTGTGCTAGATCTAGACCTAATTGCTCTGTATTCGACATAAGTTTAATGTTTTTATTTCGCTCGAAGTCTGTGTTGAGTTTGTGTAAAATATGCTACAATCTCTTTTTCGGCCGACAAACGACGAATGTGTTTCGTTTTGTGTCAGCTCTCACTTTACACTAGACGGAACTGTTGTTTTAAGTCCAGGATGAATTGAAGTGAAATGTTTGTGATGGCTTATAAGATGTGGACACGAATAGTTTTCGACACGTTTCTGTGGGTGCGGGACAACAAGAGCAATTTCAGATCGTGAATGACAAAATATAGGTCTATTTTTAGTATGGCAAAACTATTGAAAATGGGGTCCTATAAATGCTTATAGGTCAAGTGACTTATTATTAAAAAAAAACGTCTCATCCATATCCTGAGATGAAACATTTATATTTTTGTTGATGTGGATAATAGGCCTATATAGCTATTATAGCGTCTGCCAAATACATAAAAGTGTGAATGGTATTTGGGCATTCCCACTGTAAAAGAGAATATTAAAAACAGAATTTTTGATGTATATTATTTGATTCTTAATGTGGTTTAAAATGGCAATAAATAAATTTTCTGATGTGTGGGGCACAAATGTTTGCTGAAAAAAAAAAAGTTGTATCCCCTTAATAGAAAATAAGGGAGTTAAGCCAGTTTTAATACAAGGTGAGAAGAGAATGTATTTTTTATGAATACTGTTAAACCTAGTTGCTGTTAAAAATGCTACTGACACTTGAGAAATAATTAAGCTCATGGAGGGAGATTTATGTGATGGAAAAGATGTCACACAATTTAAGACTCTGAATGAGTCATACTGAGAAATGGAAATCTTTAATGAAGGGACTGGGCTAAATACGGGGGCAGTGTTTTGTCTGTACTTTTCTTTACCGTATTTGATTTCAAATGGTTTCTAATTTGTTTATCGTAATGCATTAACATCCCATCCACTGTTGTTCTTTATATATTGCTTTCAGTTTTGTCATTGTTGGTTTGGTTTCTATTTTTATTTAAAATGTTTTATTTAACATTGATTGAGCAACTTTTTTTTTGTTTTTGTTTTTTTTGTGGGAAAATAAATCAAATAAAAGTGGTTTGTTTTGTTTAAAAATCTGATAAATGTATGGGGTGGTGAGGACAGGGGTGAATCCCATCAAGATAAGATGTCTAGGATTGTGGTGGTATTTTCCACAACCTCTCTACTTAATTATTTTGACCTTTGTCGAGTACTGTAACTATATTCTTGTGACGCCCATGACTACCTACTCCGCTTTCATCATGGAAATAGACATGAATCTAATATTAATTAACTAGACTGAAATGTTTTAAAGGCAAACTTTATTGGTGTGAACAGGTTTAGTTTTAGTGCTGGGCAACGATTAATCGCGATTAATCGTATCCAAAATAAAAGTTTTTGTTTACATAATATATGTGTGTGCTGTGTATATTTATTATGTATATATAAATACACACACA